CATAACCCACTTCAATCTAATGTATGAAATATGATATGTCAAGAGCTTTGTAATGTTGTGAACAACCAATAAAAAAAAATTGGAATATCAAAAAGTTGTTGCTATTGGAGTCATGAGAGTCTATAGCTATGGCTCTCAGCCTAGTTAGACACAATGCTTATTTTTATCAAATGTGTTTTATTTTAATCAAGACATCATCCAAACGCCATAAATTCACCCTTTTAAAGGTTGCAATTCAGTGGGGTTTATTATACTCAGTGTTGTACAAGCACCACTAATTCCACAATATTTTCATTACCACCAAAAGAGACCTATACCCATTTGGACTCATCCCCAATTCACTCTTTCCCTTAGTCCCTGGAAGCCACTAATATACTTTCTGTCTCTATTTGAACCTGTTTGTATAGCAAATATTTTAACACCCCTTTCAGAATTCTGAAATAAAATGTTGAGATCATATAACCTATCTATTCATATAAATTTCAGTTATGCTCAATATATGTATATTACCAATCTGTGCATTCCACTGAATATGATTTGTGCATTCTTCCACGATTAGCTATACCCCTACACTCTCACTTTCAGTGGCTAAAGGAATTCCATCAGACAGATATTGCATAAAGAATCTCATCCAGTGTGACTGGAATACACATTTGAATACTGAGTTTTTGAAACTCTGGTAACCAGGTTTAAACATTTGTATTTTGTATTTCAAGAATAGATTTCACTAAGAAGCCACTGGTATTATATCCCATTTTAGGGTCTGCACATTTGAGATTCTATCATGGAGGGAGGCAGAAGTATTGATGCAAGCTGAATGTCCCCTCTGTCCCTATGAGAACATCATGTGTCTAAAGCAATACAGGAGTGACCAAGAATTTGGTGGCACATTTGGTGGCAGTTCCTTTGAGACATTAACTCCTCAAAGGCACTTCCCAGACATTCTATTTTAAAACTTCCACAGTATATGTGTTAAACATTAAAGTGATATACAAACTAAGATGAAAAAGGAACCATGTTCATTTGGTGTAGTTTGGTGCCAAACATTATGCTGCCTCGTCCCAGCCAGCCTTGGAGTCATAAAACCTTATACAAAGCATAACATTAGCATAGTAGTCTGATTTGCCTCTATTTTTAGCAAAAACAAGAAAAAGCAAAAATAGCCTTTTCTATATAGGACTTAGGCATAGGACTTAACTCCATAGAAATTTGCATTTGTATGAAAGTAGCTGAAACTCAGCTTCACAATCAGCCAGGAGTTTAGTCTTTTTACTATGGAGTCAGATACTATCCTAATAAATCCTCCTTTCCTCTCTAGCACACTTAAAGACCAATTTTTGAGCTCCACTGGTTTGAACTTTGGTATTTAAGTACCTAAGGAGGAAAGGAATAGGTGTGGGGGTGCAGAGAACAGTGTAAGCACTGCCAGCAGGGAAGGAAGCCACCTGGGGCCACCGCAACCTTGTTCTTCCGCTCAAGAACATGAAGAAAAGGCAGAGTGTGTGAAGAACTAAAAGCACGTCAGAGGTGCCCCGGGCTTACCGTGGAACACACGCAGTCCACTCGGAGCTGATGTGCTGTGTTTATGCAATCCCTGCCAGGAAACCATGGACTTCAGTTTCTGGTTTTGGACTCCTTGATTTAGTAGCTGTTTTAGCTTTTGCACAGTAATAATTTTACTACAAAAAGGTAAATGTCTTGTAAACTAATGGGAAACATACTGTTTGGCACAGTTTATAATGTCAGGATTTATGGCTTCAACACTGAGGGTCTCTCTGACCTCGAAGATAACATAATGAAATAGCAATGTGCTGCAAATGACTCGTTGTGATTTTTTATTAGTTCCCATAATTGCCCCTTATTAATTTGTATGCACATAATAAGCACTCACCTTCACAGTCTGTCCGGCTTCGGGGCCATCCTGGAAGAAGGGGAAGAAAAAAAAAAACAGCAGAGGTGAGAATAGATAGATGGTATCTCATGCTTATTCAGAAATATCACCCGTTAATAATTTAGATCCAATTTCATTGTGTGTTAATTTATAGCATTCTCATGGGGACCATTTGATTCCAATGTGTTGGACCAGACAGTTCTCCATTTCCGCCCGAGAGTGAGAAGTTATGTATAAAAATGACATAAATTATCCAGTAAGCCAACCCCCTTGCTACTTTTCATGCTCTTTGCTCTTGGCAATGGTTTTAATTGCATTAAAAGAAGGTTGAAAATGTTTGGGGAGGTGAAGTATCACACCTTTTGGTTATCTTTAAATCAGATGTGGTTTAATTAATGCCTGATTACTTTAAGTCTCTCCTCAGGAAATGTGCTGTAATCATAATCCATTAAGCAAGAATATGGGGTGTTTTGTGGGGTAGGAGTCCTTTCTGGCTATTCTGACCTTGGGGAAGAAAATGAGAGTGTTCATTGTAGCAGGATTCTTTTTCCCCATCCTGGTTCTCTCTCCCAGCTTCTGATGTCCAACAAAACTACTGTCTTGATTGAAAACCAGCAGACCTACCTGATCACCAGAGCACAGCACAAGAAACTCATTGTCTACAATGAGACTATACAAAATGGAACAACCATGGCTTGGCTAATTCTGTCTCCCTCTATGAACCTGATGATTGGTAGGAGAATTCCTGCCCTGATGTGACCAGAAGCATACCTGTGTCCATCAGTGCTTTCCAAACCCAGAGTCACAACATATTAGTGGGACATTAAGTCAATTTAATACATTGCAACAAATATGAAGAAATAAAGAGAGCACAGAGTGATAGGACAGAGACTTCTAGAATGCACAGAATGATAAGCACTGTTTCCAGAAACTCTTTTGTTTTTTGCGCCTATATAGCTGTATGTATGGGGAACAATATATGTAATCATGAAATAAATAAATAAATAAATAAATAAATAAATAAATAAATATATCTACTGTGGGTTATAGTTAAAAAATAAGTTTGACAACACAGTATGAAAATACTGTAAGGGATATATCATTTGTTATAGAATTCACTTTCTGTTGAACCATGTTAAATAAGCAGCGCTGGTATTTCCTATAATCATGAATTTTCCTCTGTTATTTCACTGAACACTTACAGATGTTTTCACCCATTTTACTTGGTCTTTCTGGAAACCAAGTTTACAACATAAGCTTGATAAACCCACCTTGAGCTGAAGTACCTTGCCCAAAGGTGACTTAAATGGTTTATCACACAACAGACACATACAGAGGCACAATATTTGGGGGGAACTTTAGATACTATCAGTTCAATCAAACAGCATTTTTTTCCCCTAAGAAGCAGAGGAACATTTTTAGTCAAAGGCTTTAATAGTTCTCTGTGAAAATCTATGGCAGAGAGCTAAGGAGGTAAACATGCAGTTTAACTAAAAGTCTGAGGACAGAGCTTCACATTTTAGAAGAATCAGATGCCTTCTAGAGGGCAGGTTCCAAAATATTAAATTTCAGAGTCACAAAGGACTTTCTGTATGCACTAATACATCAGCCCTCCCCTTATTTGATCTGAAGGGGGTCATGATACCTTACTACTGATTCACTCACCTCCCAGCTGTTAACTCATTTTGGACTTCCTCCTTCAAACCTGAGAAGTACTGATTCAACTTCTGCCTAAAGCTCTCCTGTGATTGGGGATCTCTTTGGGTATGGTGTGGGTGGGCCATACCCAATAGATCAATCTGTCATCAATCAGTGGAGCTTGCATTGAAGGTAGGAAAATATAAAAAACAAGCCCTATGAGGGCAAGGTTCAACCTAACTTGCTTATCACTGCTCCCTGGAAACTAGAACAGGGCTCAGGTCAGGCAGTGCTCACATTATTTACCATGGCAAGAAAATACCAGTTCCAATATAAGCTCTGGAATATCTTAATGTGCATTACATCCTTTGTCCATTACTCCCATCTGCTTTGCAAACAATGGTACAGGCACTGCCCCTAATAATATTCCACAGTCCATCTTGGGGCCAATGGACTATAGAGTTGCCCTGGATTAGTAATATAATTTTGTGTTATTATGTAAATGGAGAAAACCAGAGCTGTCTTCCTGGTGGGATGTCATGTTGGAGGTAGAAAGCCCAATACTAGCACTTAAAGAGGAAGAAAAAAGTCAATTTTGAGCAACCTGTATACTCACCTGCATGGAAAAAGTCAGAGAGGTCCCCTGGAAATGCTTTTCCACCACTGTCCCGACTCTCTGGGTCACTTGAAACAAATCGGCCACTTCATCAGGACGCAGATCTTGGAAGCGCTCCACTGGCCGCAGTGGGCACACGAGAACATCTGTAGCAAGGTCTGTTAAGGCACACCAGGCTTGCTTTGGGTGGTGTTCTTATGGAGCAGCTTATAGAGCAGCTTATACCCACAGTATTGCATCCCCCCTTGACCCAGGGCCAGAACATTCAAAGACTAAGGAATGAAGAAACAAATATTTACCAGCGACTGCACACCAAAGAGTGCAAAGAGAGCTTAAAAACATGGTTAGTTATACTTCAAAGGAGAAGCTGTGGTGCACAGAAGAAATTTCTTTTAAGAGAAGGCACATTAGGGTACAGAGTGATTCTTGTGCTTGCTGAGATAATTATACCAGGAGGCAAGATCTATTCTGGACTATTATCTCCTGACCCCTATTCTAAACCTCTGTCCTCTCCAGCAGCCAAAGGCACTATGTTGCAGAAATAAGTGGAATATCCAGGAGCTTTCTCTAGGTAGAACATCGTGATTAAAATTTTAATGTTAAGTTTTGTTTTAGAGAAATAACAGAAATACATAATGAACTTCTGAGGGGAACCGATTTTATTTTGAAAGGTGGGTAGACATTCTGAAAATGCACAATGAGCTTCATCTACAACTAACAGATGTCCCATATTATTAAGCCATTTATGATTTAATCAGACCAATGATTATTCAGAGTCTAAAAAGGCATTTGACTGTCATGTATATTTAAAAAGAACAAAATTTTTTAAAAAGTGAAACACTTCTATATAAAAAAAAAGTCCACAGGGCCTCCTAATCACTATAAAGTAACCACATTACAATGCTATTACAATGATTTGACTTAAGATTTCTTGACTTTATGATGGTATGAAAGTGTATCCATATAACCACCATTTCTCACTTTCGGTGTAGTTTTAAATACATTACATGAAATCAATACTTTCTTATAAAATAGGATTTATGATCTCATGAAAATAGAAGGGCGATTAGTAGAATGGGGAGAGGGAGGACAGAAGGGAAAGGGGAAGAAGTGGGGAGTGAGGTTGATCAGATTATGATATGTGCATGTATGACTATTTCAAAATGCATTCCAATTATATATGTCCAATTAAAAATAAATAAATACATAGAAGGAAGACCAATACAATAGAGGAAGAGGCTGGGGGAGGGAGGTGAGGAGGGTCAGAGGAAGTACTGGTATGTATTCATGAATACGTCAAACTGAACCCCACTATTATATATAACTATAATGCACTATTATGTATAACCATGATACACTTTTATTTTACTTAAGATCAAAACATTTTTATAAAAAGACATTTGAGGGTAAATCATAAAAAAAGTTGTCTGTTCATACAAAAGAAACCATCTTAATGCATTCTGTAAGCCAGACAAGGCAACATATTTACATTATTGATCTGAGTTACAACAAAAAGAATGTAAGTTTAATCACTTCTCAGTAGCAAACTAATATTCATTGTTACACTATCAATAACCTTTCAGTTCCTTTTTCTATGTTCCTTTTTCTATGGCATACATACATCCACAAATGTATATGCAAACATATGTATGTGTCTCTGTCTGTATATATGTACAGATGTTGCTCAATTTATGATGGGGTTACACCCCAATAAGTCCATTGTAAGCTAAAAATATCCAAAGCTGAAAATATCCTGTAATAAATGCAGTTCATATACCTAACCTATTGAATGCCATAGTTGAGGCTAGCCTGTCTTAAATGCACTTAGAATGCATATTTGCCTACAGTAGGGCAAAATCACTCAACACAAAGTCTATTGTAAAAGAGAACACTGAATATTTCATGTCACTTATAGAATACTTGCTAAATGAAAAAAAAAACAGAGTGATTGTGTGGGTTGGCTTACACACTACTGTAAGCTGAAAAATTGTTAAGTCAAACCATTGTAAGAAGGGGTTGTCTGTGAGAACACACACATAATATATATTAATATTTGTTTAATTTCCAGATACCAGAAGGAGAAAAGAAACACTCCTGGACTTGTTTTCTGTTCCTTTCTTCTTTCCTTTTTTCCCTGTTGTTTTAAGAAAGCATGCTGCTGCCTGGAGCTAAGCAGGAACGGGGCCTCATAAAACCACAATCTTGCAATTGCTGGTCTCACCAGAATATCAAGAGCTTTAACCCATCACACTATTGGTAGAACTTGGGACCCAGGGGAAATGTACTCAGCTCAGCTGGGCAGGCCAGATTTCCATAAGGGGGAGTATCAGGGAGAGAAAGGAGGGGGAAACTGATTCTTTAGCTCATAATCAGGAAATTCAAATCAACAGTAAACTAGGAAAAGAGGCATTTGTTAAATCTGAGTTCATTTTTCAAGAGAAGAGAAGGGAGGCCTTCACCCACAGGGCATCTGATACTTAAAAAGATAATTATCCTTCTTTGGCAGGGTTGCTTTATTATCATGGGTCAATGAACCGTTTAGAAATGAAGAATTTCCTTTCATTTCCTTTTAGCAGATTGCTAGCCTCCACTCCCTCTCTGAGTTACTTTTTCTTTGTTAAAAGGGACTCAAAGCCATCTTCCTCCTCCCTGCTTTCCTTCACACCCTCTCTTAGTCCTTGACTGCACCAAACCACAGCCAGATGACAACCAGGCAAGCTTCCAACAATAGCCATAATTGCTGGGTTAGGCTCTGTCCCTGCACAGCAACCAGGTGGAGGAAGGGACAACATTTTACTTAAAACAATTGCTACTGTGAAAACTGGTGATTCTAATGTCAACTTAGTAATATCAGAAATAACCAAATTTTTTTTTCTTTAATGCCATACACACAAAAAAAACCTTTTTTATTTCTACTTGCCTGATGTGAAGACCTGGTTTGATATAAAGTTAGTGGCTCAAGATATTTTAAGAATTAAGTAAAAGTAGCTGAATTTGCCACATGCTTTGTCCTTGGTTTACCCATCCCAGAGTCATATCATATTCACATTTATTATTTTCATTGACTATTAATAGTAGTCCTTTGTGTCACAAAAAAATTCAACAGCCTCAATGCACTTTCATTTAGGTGAATACTCTGCGCCAACAATTTTGTACAACATTGTCCTGACACATATATTCCTTACAATCTAACCCTTTGTTAAGAGTCACCTTATTTGCATGTAATACACACTTTTATGTGCAAATGATAATTAGATGAAATAAAAAGAACTTCAGGGGTGTTTACTTGACATGTGTTACTGTTGGATGATCATCATCTTTGTTTGGTTGGTGCCCAGAGAATGGGCAAGTAGACAACTCAACATGGAAGTGACCATAACAGGTAGGCTCCTCAGGACTCGCCCACAGGGGTTACATTGGTCTAGAGTCACTCAGAGTCAGGCTCTGGAGCTCATGCAAGCATCTGAGCTGGCCAGCAGCAGACACAGTATCCAACACCCTCCCTGGGGCCCAATGAAGAGGAGTCTCAAAAAGCAAGGATCAACCATCTTCTCTCAGACGCTTTAAACCCAGAGCAGAAAAGAGCCTGTGCCTTTACCTCGCCTCAGGCCCCCTCCTGCCTGCTGCCCACCTGCCTCCCAAACCTCCCCATTATCCTGCTTTCCTTTGCACACTTTGCACCTGCCATGTCTGCCTTCTTTCTGTTCCTCAAACACACTAGGTTCCTTCCTAGTTTGGAATCCTTTGTTGGTGCTGATTTCTCTGTCCAGTATTCCATTCCTTTTTATTCAGATTCCAATTCCAATGACACTCCTCAGAGAAATAGTCTATGATCACAATTTAAATGACTCCCCAGTTACTCGCTCATGCAATCCTCTGATAACGCTTCCCAGAGCCATGCTGCTAGTTTGGGGTTGGCAATTACTTAGTCAAATGAGCCATCTCCACAAGAGGACATACTTTGTCTTTTTTTTTTTCTTTTTAATTCTTTCCTCAGTGCCTAGAACACCAGACACACGTAGGAATACTTACTACTGGAAGAGTGAATAAATGATAAACCAAGTGCTCCTATCAGCCATCTCTGAATACTAAGACCCCAACAATACTGAGATATGAATTTTCCATCACACACAAAATTGGAATAATCTGCAATTTTTCTTTCTAATTTAAAGATGTTTATCCTTAATATGTGACCGGTTAGAACGAATGCTGGACATGAACTGAGAGATCTAAATTTATTTTTAATGTAAGCTAATCTCATATGAGCTTAAAGGAGGTGTAAATATAAATGCAAAATTCTTTCTTAAGATGCTTTTATAATGAAAAAGAAGTGACTTTGAGAAGTGTTTCTGTTCAGAGTCTCAGATAAACTATTTATGTAAATGTTGTCTTATACTGTGACTAAGGAATGTAGTTAGCTTGCTTATTTTATGTATTCATTTACTTATTTATTCATTTACTTTTGGTACTAGGGATTGAACCCAGGGCACATAACCACTGAGCCAAGTCCCCAGCCCTTTTTCATATTTTTATTTAGCAACAGGATCTCGCTCAGGACCTCACTAAGTTGCTGAGGCTGGCTATAAACTCCTCCTGCCTCCCTAGCCACTGGGATTACAGGTGTATGCCACCAGACAGACCCAGCACAACTTATTTATTTAATGAACATTGGGCATCAGGTGTATGTGGGCACCTTTAGGCTCTGAAAGTAATAAAGGAGACTAAGAGGTTGCTCCTTTCTTCTCAGTCCAGGAGATGTTTCTGTACAATGGGGAGCACACAGATATGCAGAGAAGGGTGCAGCAGAGCAGAGAGGAGCACCCCGTGCAGTGGAGACCTGCAGCCTCTAGAAAGCAAAGGGTAGCCACAGGGAAGCTCTGAGCGGAACAGATTACCCTGCAGGTAGCTGAAACTACAAACAGATCATGGAAGACTTACAGCAGGTCGGAGAACTTTTTCTGTGAAGGAAAAGATGGTAAATCTTTTGGGTTTCATGGGTTATATGCCTAAGTAGCCACAGTAGCAAATACAAAAACTAATAAGCGTGGTACATTCCAGTAAACCCTCATTCACAGAAAGAGGAAGCAGGCCAGTTAGTTCATAGGCCTCACAGTGCCATCAACTGGTTTGGAGGGATCACATTTGA